AATTGGTTTTTCAATTTTTTAATTTTAGAATCAAAAGTATAATGTAAAAACTAAATTAAAACTAACAACTTTGCAGTCACTATGTGACTGCCGTGAACTTTGAACTATAAATGAATAAAATTTTGCTTTATTAAATGAGGAGCTGATTTTCAAAAGGGTAACTTTTCATATTTTAAAAAAGCAGTTTTTTGAACCATTAAATATTAATTAATTCGAGAATTATAAAGATTTCTAAATGAAAATCTAATTGTAGCTTCATAACCGATAGCACTTTATAGCTAAAATAAAAAAGTTCAATAAAAATATTTATAATTGAAGATAACCAGTTTTTTGTCTAAATCAATCAAAAATGAAAAGATGCCTTTTTGAAACTCAACTTCTCAAATAATGACTTTTATTAAATTGCACTGTACTTTCTTAAATATTGACGTTTTTAAAGATATAAGCTCATCCCGATGTTACACTCATCAAGAGCTTTCATTTGAGTACCCACATGCATTTTTGATATATTTTTCATATATACATATATATAATATATATAAATATATGAAAAATACATGTGGGTACTCAAATGAAAGGTCTTGATGAGTGTAACAATGGGATGAGCTTATATCTTTAAAAATGTCAATAGTTCACAAGATACAAGGTCATTTCTTAATTATGTGTTCAGAAATAGAGCATTTTCGAATTCAGCCTAAATACTTATCATATCAATTGAATATCGCTGAGAATGATATGAAACCTTGAAAAGAAACAAATTCAAGTTAAGACCTTTGCAATGACACTAAATTTCACTAAAAAAAAAACCGATTTTATCATATGACTATCTCGGAAACAAAATTTTTTCTTATTCTCTTATTCTCTCTTTTCTTATAATGTAGATTATAAAATAAAATTTTTTGATTAGTATTTAGAGCTTTTAATGGCAACAAAAATTTTTCATTTAATAATTTTTATTTTTTAGTCATTTTAAAGAATTCTTATTGAAAAATTTATATTTTTGAAATTTTGCGTTTTAATTATTTTTTTTTAATAGAAAAAAAAAAATTTTCACCATTGTTTTTAATTTAATTTTTTTGAATTTTTGAATTTATACCTTGAAAAAATGATAAAATTTTCAAAATAATATTATTTTTAAGTCAATTTTTTAATTTACTCAGTACATTCATTGCATTTTATGTTTTATCTAAATTAAGACCAAAGAGTTTATTAAATTCAAAATTCGAAGCGGAAAAAAATTCCAAAAATCATTAAATTTTTCTCTAAAAACAAAATAAACTTAAAAAAAAATTAATTTTTGTCTCAATAACCAAGAGTCGAGTTTTTTAGCATCTCAAGCGGGAAAAAAATTTTTTTGCTAATATTTTATTGAATTAACGTTAAAAACTATTAATTTTTTCTTTCTTGTCAAAGTAAAATTTTTTTTTCTAACATTTAAAATCAAAATAGATAATCTCAACATAACACTGGGACCAAAACAAAGCAATAACAATAAATACCCCGAAAAGTGTCTGTCTGAAGGTAAAACTGACAAAACCCAGACAATAAAAGAGAGACAAGGGGTGTATTTTAAAATAATAATCAAAATACAAAATATAATGTATAAAAGAGGGGCATTTAAGTCTATACTCTTTTGGAGAGATATAGAGAGAGAGAGAGTTAGTAAGAGTAGCGCACTTCTAAAAGCCCGCGAGTCATAGACTAATGATTCTGTCTGAGTGGGACGATTGAGGAGCGTGCCAAGGGAGAAAATCCTCCAGCATCCACTCTATTGCTGACAAATAAACCCCAAGATTTTAAATTTAGTTGGGCCTGCCCAAGGACCATTACCACACAAGGGGCCACTTGTCAGCCCTTTTACCTTCTCGCTGACCACACATTAAATCGCCCTTATATTATGGTCACCCGCTGCGTTACAATTAATAAATATTAATGGAAATATTTAATGAAAAAAATGATCAAAAGTCAACGAGTGGAAGGAAAAAAGGTTGTTTTTTTTTACCCGGCCAGGAGATGGGGGATCAAAGGTCGGGTGCGAGTCAGAGTATATAAAGGGTTGTAGTATTATGCAACTCAACTGTTCCATTGAGTGGCTATTAGCTGTACTACCCTCATTGCTCCTACGACGGATGTAAGTAGTCTACTACATCAGAGCAACCAACAACCTCAATTACTCGCTAATCATCATTCAATTCTAAAGAGGATTTTTATTTTATTTTTCACAATTATAATTACTCGTTTTTTATTTTTTTTTAAACATCTTTTAGATTTTCAAGATTCTTGACTTTTTAAGAAAGTTATGTAAGTTTTTTGAAGTAAGATCACTTTAATATAGAGATTTTAGTTTGTTGAAATTTTAGAAATTTTATTTTGATTTATTTTTCAAGTTATTTTGTTAAAAAATAATTAAAATTTTTGGAAAATATCTCATTTTTTAACTTGAAATTTAAAGAAAAAATTTTTTTATTTTATTGTTGAAAATTTTGAGACTTAAAAGTAAAATTATTGAAAATTTTTAATAAAAAAAAAAATAGTAGTGGAAAAAAATTAATTTTAGAAAAATTTGGAAGTTTTTAAAAATTTTAAGAAATTTCGGGCTAAGTTAGTTGTTTTTTTTTTTTTTTTGTAGAAAAAATCAAAGTTTTTGGAAAATATCAAATTTTTTTACTTGAAATTAAAAAAAAAATTTTTTTTTAAATCTAATTTTTGAAAATTTTAAAGGACTTTTAACAGTAAAATTGTTAAAAATTTTGAAAATGAAAATTTTTAATAAAAAAAAAAAAAAAAAAAGTCAAATTAGAGAAAAAAAATTAATTTTAGAAAAATTTGGAAATTTTTAAAAATCATAAGGAATTTCAGGCTAAGTAAGTTTTTTTGCAGAAAAAATCAAAATTTTTGAAAAATATCAAATTTTTTATTTGAAATTTTTAAAATCTTGAAAAAAAAATTTTTCTATTTAATTTTTGAAAATTTTGAAGGACTTTTAAGAGTAAAATTGTTAAAAATTTCGGAAATGAGAATTTTTAATTAAAAACAAATAGTAAAATTGAAGAAAAAGAATAAATTTTAGAAAAATTTGGAAGTTTTAAAGAATTTTGGGCTAAAATCAATTTTTTACTTTTGAAAATGATTAATTTTGATTAAGGAAAGTTTAAAAAATTTTTAGGATTGCTAAGAGCTTATTAAATCGTGGAAAAGAAAACGAATATCTGTTACGTGTAATTTAACTAGTAATGTAATGAGTACGGAGGAATTTGATCTTGACAATCGGAATCGTAACGAAATATCAGACGGTTGAATTTAATGAGCATGAATCGCCAGACAAAGACATAACAAATTCTTTAGCATGCGGACATTCAATCAATGAAAACTTAATTAATTTCTATCAAGTTTTTCGCTATAAAAATTTTTATTATTCATCAGATCACTTGATATTTTGGTTGCAAAATTTGGAACTCTGTAACTCGTTAACGAATTGTCGGACTGAAAAAATTAGAGTACATTTTTGTAGAAAATTTGATGGTCTACAAAAAATGTCTTATGAATTTTTGATAAATCTACTCATTCGAAAGTTATTTGAAGTCAAAGTTGAACTTATAAGACAACTTTTGAATTCTTAACTTTTCGGCAAGTTTGTTTGAATATTTGCAAAATTTTGCGGAAAAATTTATTTCTTTGGGGTTTTTTGAACTTCTGAGAGTATCTTGGTTAAATTACAACGCAGTTTTGTCAAAAAATATTTTTCTAGACAAATTTAACTGATAAAAAATCTCAAATGTTGAATTTTATCATCAAACAAAAAAAAGTTTCAAAGTGTTAATTTATCAAGTGTCAAACTAAACAATAACTTTATTTTAGAAATATTATTTAAATTAAAATGATTTATCGAATTATTAAAAATCATTTTGAATAAAAAACATCTGGTTATTTAGATTAAATTTTAGTAACAAAAAAATTGATAGAATATTGAATATAAATAAAAAAAAGGCGCGCAGTAGCCTATCGGATCCGGTCCTTGCTACCAAAGCATTGGACCGGGTCTGTCCGTGTTAAAATTCCAAATTTTGTCGCCGGCAAGTATTGAATTGAATAAAATAATTTATCAATTAGACTTGGAATAAATAATAAAAATTCCAGTAAATTAACAATCTGGATGATTGAAATAATTGTAAAAAATAGTTATACAAATAATTATTAATAATAAATAAATAAAAATTTTACCTTAACCACACACCAAAAATCCAATTTTCAATATTAAGAAAAGCGATACTCTCGAGCCTGGAATAAAAAAAAAAGTAACATAAGTATAATGACAATTAAAAATAAGGAAACTTTTGGATAAAAAAATGGGAGGTGTTAAAAAATAACTAAAAGAATAAAAGTTAAAAGGGTTCCTCTGATGGAGAATGTCGCTGACTAATTGTCAGTTGGTTTTCGGTTAGACGATAAAAACTCTATTTTATACCGGAGCCTGCTAATAGCACCATCTACAATCCAGTAGTTCTTCGCCGGTCTTCCAATGCTGCTGATCATCGGTCTCTGTCTTCGTTTTAGTTTTACTTTGTTGGAGTTTTATTCCTGTCATCACTCCCCTGGTCTCGGTTTTTACTTTTTAAAACTATTTTGTTATTCCTCTTGCTTTTATGATTAATTATTTTATTTCACAAACTAAACTTTGGACACTAATTCACTTTTTGCACTAAAACCCGACTTCTACTTGCACAAACGGGTTTTTTTTTTAATTTATACTTAATTATTCATTACTTTTATCACCACCAAACACTAATCACTGATCACTTTTTGGTTGATCAAGGAAAAGAGCTTAGGATAATTATTTCTAGAAAAATTAATATAAATATTTTGCCAGTTTAAAATTGTACTTGTTGGGCATCAGATGCTGAATTTTGACATGTAAATTATGATACAATTTATCTATAAGTAATTAATTAATTAATTAAATTTATGTATAGGTTTGATTGATTAAAAATTGGCTGGTGCAATTATGTTTGGTCGTAACGTTGCCGAGTTTTCCGCCATATGGCCTGTTTCTTTTCGACACTCGCATCCATTTCAATTGAAGGCAAATCCGTGTTTCCTAGCCCTTTTTTCGCGTTATTATTTACCATTTGTACCTGAAATTAAATATAAAGAAATTATTTTGAGTATATTAGAGAATTTTGGAAAAAATTTATTATAGTAAAATTGTTTTGATTAGGAAAATTTTGATTTAAGAAAAAAATTGTAGAAAATTGAATTTTGAACAAGTTTTGATAAATTGAAAATTTTTATTAAAATTAATATTTTCAAAAATATCGTCACTTTTGTGTAACTTGTAAAGTTATATATTTTTGGAAAGATTATCTATATTATTAAGAGAAGAAGCAAAATTTTGTGGCCAGGATAGTCATATGATAAAATCGGGGTTTTTTTAAGTGAAATTTAGGGTCATTGCAAAGGTCTTGATTTGAATTTGAGCCTTTTCAAGTATTTAAGTATTTAAGCTGCATTTGAAAATGCTCTATCTCTAGATAAATAATTAAGAAATGACCTTGTAACTTGTAAACTATTGACATTATTAAAGATATAAGCTCATCCCGATGTTACATTTATCAAGACCTTTCATTTGAGTACCCACATCAATTTTTTATATATTTCGTATATTTATATATTTCACAAATACTATATATATAAAATATATCAAAAATGCCATGTAGGTACTTAAATGAAAGCTCTCGATGACTGTTACATCGAAATTAGTTAACATCTTAAAAAATGTCAATAGTTAAGAAATGACCTTGTATTTTGTGAACTATTGACATTTTTAAAGATATAAGCTCATTCCGATGTGACACTCATCAAGACCTTTCATTTGAGTACCCACATCAATTTTTCATATATTTTATATATTTATATATGTCACAAATACCATATATATAAAATATATCAAAAATGCCATGTAGGTACTTAAATGAAAGGTCTCGATGAGTGTAACATCGAAATGAGTTTATATCTAAAAAAATGTCAATAATTAAGAAATGACCTTGTATCTTATGAACTATTGACATTTTTAAAGATATAAGCTCATCCCGATGTGACACTCATCAAGACTTTTCATTTGAGTACCCACATCAATTTTTCATATATTTAATATATTTATATATATGTATATATGAAAAATATATGAAAATGCATGTGGGTGCTCAAATGAAAGCTCTTGATGAATGTAACATCGGGATGAGCTTAAATCTTTAAAAATGTCAATATTTAAGAAAGTACAGTGCAATTCAATACATGTTACTTTAAAATTTTTGATTTTTGAAAAAAATTGTTGGAACAAAAATTTTAGAAAATCAAATTTTGAACAAGTTTCATCTATAAAATTTTTTCAAGATCATTATTTTCCAAGATATAATCATTTTTTTATAATTTGAAAAATTGTATATTTCTGGAAACATTATACAGTTTTTAGAAAAAAATGTTTGAAACAAAAGTTATAGGAAATAAAATTTTGAATCAAAAATTATCCTTAAATGAATAATTCCCAAGAGACGGTGACTTTTATCTAAAGTGGAAAAATATAATTAAGGTTTTTTTAAAAAAAGATCTTGATAAATGACCTGATTTCCTTGGAGCCAACAAAGTACAATAGAGTTTTCAGTCTCAGAGGTAGCTTTTGATGATAGTTAGTAAATTTGGAACAAGTGGGCCCCCTAGATGCGTCTACTAATGAGTGTAAACTCAACAGCTCTCGACACATTTCCTTATATTTCCCTCGAAATCTCTTGTTTAACAAAATTTCACAGTAAAACACGATGAAATAAAATAATAAAGAGTTGAAGCAGCTTGGCAAAGCAGGAGGAGGAAAAAAATGGCATGACCTCGTGAGAAGTGAAGGTAGTTTGCATAATAGGACAATTTATGAAGCTAGACGTAGTGCCCCAGACGCGCATCATGAGATCGGGCGGGTGTGAATCGACGCTCGGTGGGTGCGGAGGGGCCAGGGGGGGGGGGCTAAAAGACGTGCTGGTCTGGTGTGAGGGTGGATGAAGGTGGAAAATGGGCAAATAGGACACTACGGCTAGACGGACAAGACAATGCACTGTGTGTTGTCATTACTGATTTACCGCGCAGACGCTTCTTGTTACATATTATGTATTGTGTATGCCAGATCTGTATATATATAATCCGACCAATATAGCTCTCTCTTCGCTATCAGACTAAAGACTCACACCAGCTCACCAGTCTGCCGGTATGCTCTTCAGAGCACTCAATTTACCGATGAAAGTTTTATAATCAACCGCTAATAATACATCGGGTTGATTGCTAATTATTGCTAGTTTTTCCGTCAGGCGAGACGTCGTTATTAATTTGCAAGATGAAAAAAAAATCCTGTCGGGAATTGAACCCGCGGTCTCGCATTTGAGATTCTGAGATTAATTTATTGAAGTATTTAACACTAAAAAAAAGTTTATCATCAATTTCACATGGCTCAATATGCAAAGTATCTTACAAAACGTTTTCCAGGCCATAAATAGCCTCTGGTTATCGATTTTCTCTTTTATTATTATATACAGTGGATTACAAGTCTTTGGAAGCGAGAGCGCCAAGCCATCTGGCGGATTTTATAATGAAGCTTCTTAATTCAAATTTTTCCGAGAAGAACAAACTGAAGAACTACTTTTTAATTTTGGTTGAATAATTGCTTGCATATGTGTCGGATTACGACAGTGGCGCGCTCTTGATCAACTAAATATAGCTACTTATGATCTTTACCGCAATTTAAGAAGAAAAGTATCAAAAAAGAGTTTTTATAGCAAAATTTAAATACTCTGGAAGGTTTGGAATTTCTTATGGAAATTTACAATTGTTGGAACTATTTTGGAGTTCTAAAGTTTTGGAAAATTCCGGTAGATGGCGCACGGAGAAAATTATTCTCGCTGGTAGAAACAGTTGAATGGATCTATAAGTTATTTTAAGAAATAATTACAGGACTTTTTATGCGAAATATTATTAAAAATTCAATAAGCATTATTAGGCGTGGACTTTTAGATTTTAAAAACTTTATTTTATGTACTCTGATTAATTTAAAATAATTATACGTAAAAGATATTAATTTACCGAATTAATTAATTTTTATTAGATAAATTTAGGTTGAATTTTATTTTTATTTTTTCTTATCCGAAACAAACTTACCAACTAAAAAAAAAAATATTGACGGGAATCGAACTCACGACCTTGTATTAGTAACTCGGACAAATTTTTAGTAAGATACATTCCAAAATTTACGATAACTTGGAAACTATTGGAGATATAAAAAAAGTATAAAGAGATAAATTGACCCGAATTTCTCAAAGAACATCATGAGTCATGAGATTATAATAATCAAACCGAGCTGATTAAAAATACGGTAATTTGATTGAAACAAAAGCAAAGACGGGATTAGCAGTAATTAGATGCAGATTGGATTTGAATACTCAGTGAGCACAAGCTGGTATCAAACGTATCGATTGACAGAGTGTTTGTTCGTCGTTAATTAGTGTGTTGTACTGATAGGTGTATCTATGTCTAGCTTAGAGTCTAGTCTAGACTAGACCACGTCTATGTACACCCGACTGTCATGAGGTTATATTATATAAACATATCTATATATGTACTGCACACACAGTTTATATGTATCTAAGCTTCACAAATACACGTCTCATATGATTCTGGTCTAGGTCTAGACTCCAGACTCTATCTGGCGTACGCTGAGTGGTTATGTTACCAGTAACTAGTACATAGTGTATACCTGGTACACGATAGAGCGGTTTGGTAATGGTATGAGTGAGTACATATAGAGATACAGAGCTAAACAGACGAAGCTATCATCATATGATAATCCGGTGATGGATGTCCCCAGTTGTCTTCCTAGTCCCAGTCGTCTATCTCATTATTATACACTTTGGTTAATTTAAATAAATTTTTCCCACACATTTTTGGTCTTATTCATTTATTTTAATTTATATCAATTACCCACACGTAAGAATTTAAGACGAGAGTGTTATATTACTTCTGAGTGTATCATCCAATTGCTTTATTTTTTTTTTTTTATTTGTAGAGATTGACTCAGTTTTTTAGGAAATTTTAAAATTTTTTAGCCTAACAAAAATGGAATAATTAAGACTTTTTTTAAGCAATTTTTAGAGCTACTTTTAACATTTCTTCTTACATTTTTAATTTAAAAATCATAATTTTTTGATGTTTAATATTTTAAAAATTTATGTAGAAAAATTAAAAAAATTTTTTTTATATGTTATCTTCGTTTTAATTTCAAGATATGACCAAATTTTTATGATTAAGATAGTTCTCAATTTTTTTTTAAGGATATTTAGGATTAAAAATGGCTGTAGCTATAAATTTTTTATTTTTGAAAAAAATGTTCAAAATAAAAGTTGGAACAATTTTTGTATTATTGAAAATTTTTCTAAAATTTATATATATTTTTGAAGATATGACCACTTTTTTATAATTTTGAAGATTTATTCTCTTGGAAAAATTGTATAGCTTAAAAAATGGCTGGAAATTTGAAATTTTTGATTTTTGAAAAAAAAGTTGTAGAAAAATAAATTTTGAACAAGTTTTGCATCACGGAAAATTTTGGTAAAATGATATTTTTTCAAGATATGTCCACTATTTTTATAATTTTGAAGTTATATTCTTCTGGAAAAATTGTATGGTTTTAAAAATGGCTGTAAATTTGAAAATTTTTTATTTTTGAAAGAAAAGTTGTAGAAAAATAAATTTTGAACAAGTTTTGCATCATGTAAAATTTTGCTAAAATGATATTCTTTCAAAGTATGGCCGCTATTTTTATAATTTTGAAGTTATATTCTTCTGAAAAAATTGTATGGTTTTAAAAATGGCTGTAAATTTGAAATTTTTGATTTTTGAAAAAAAAGTTGTAGAAAAATAAATTTTGAACAAGTTTTATAACATTGAAAATTTTCCTAAAATGATATTTTTCAAGATATGACCACTATTTTTATAATTTTGAAATTATATTCTTCGGAAAAATTGTATAGTTTCAAAAATGGTTGTAAATTTGAAATTTTTGATTTTTGAAAAAAAGTTTCAAACAAAAGTTGTAGAAAATTAAATTTTAAGCAACTTCGGTGTCTAAAAATTTTCCTAAAATCAATAATTTCGAAGATATGGTCATTTTTGTGTGAATAAAGAAGCTTTAATGCCCAATATAAATTTTTTAGATAATTCATGATTTTTGAAAACAAAAAAAATGTCAAAAACTCTATCATAATTAAACATTGACATTAAAAATAAAAATTGAGATATTAAAAATTAATTGCAAGCAAATTAAAAAAAAAAAAAATTGCTTCGGACTCAAGCCAAGAATCGAACCCAGTTTATTCTGAATACTTGTCAGGAGCGCTATTACTTGAGCTACCGTAAAGCATACAACTAAAATTTAAGAGTTTTGCTCGTCCAAAATGGTAGTTAACGTGCAATCTGTCAAATCTACGTTTCACATTTTTACTCGAGAGCATATCCAGACTGTAAATTTAAAAATGAGAATAAAACTGATACCCAATCACAATCGCATTGTTGCCACTGGCGGCAATAAAGCATAGACGGTAAAGTTGACTGTAATATAAAAGTATCCATAAACTACAATAAATCGGCGTAAAAAATTTACATTTTGTCGGTCGGAAATAAATTGAAAAACAATAGAATAGCTACGGTATCGCTTTTCATTCGTTTAAGTGCTTGGTCGTTTTAAAAACATTTCCTAACCATTCGTCTGTTACAATACAATCTATGGATAAAAAATTCCATTCCAAAGCTGGACGGTAAAAAATTATTGGTGCTAATAAAAACCATTTTATTTATCTGTTTATTCCACTTAAAAATCAATAAAATCCTTTAATTGGCGGGTCGCATTTTTGATTACCGCCGTACACTTTTTTCATCCAACTTTGTGGATATATTTATATATATGTAGAATAGAGTATTCCAGATAAGGTAGTAACATTTGTATGCGTCGCCGGTAAAAGACACATTGCATTGTTATTCTGAATGCTTTTTCCGTATGCATCCGCGGATTAGTATAGAACAGCACACAATCTATTCACTTATTTGCTTCCACCAATCGACATTCTTTCTGTTTTATAAATGATAAATAATGTTACGAAGGGTTTTTTTTATTGATTATATCGATTACTATTTCTAAAAATTAAATTTTTTCTAATGTTATATTGAAAAAAAAAAATTATTTGATAAGAATTTTGCTTTTTAAAACTAAGAAAAGATAAAATCTGGTGCATTTAGTGCACTGTGAGATTGATCTAAGTCAATACAAAATGGCTGAGCTGGTTACACTCAAAATGGCGGACGCGGGAAAATTTTGAAATTCAAAATTTATAATTGTTTTCTCTTTTTTCTGTTAAAAAATTGTAGCAATTTTAAATATTTCAATAATTTTACATCTAAAAACAAAATTCAATAAAATAAAATCTTTTTTAATCACTGAGTTATTTTTCACTGCATTTAATAAGATTATTCAAGTTAATACAAAATGGCTGAGTTTCTTAACCAAAATGACGGACGCGGGAAAATTTTCAAATTCAAAAAGTATAACCAAGTTTTTTCTGGTTTTTTTAGAAGGAAGATAAAAATTTCTCTCATAATATTTCTTTAAATCACTCAATTTCTGTACTTAATATAAAAATAAAAAAAAAAAACCAACAAATTGAAGAATTTTTTATGCAACCGTTATTAAAAAATAAGTAATAAAAAAGAACGGATACCAATGGAATGCAATACCGTCCGGTAATCAGACAGCATCAGCTCTGTAAAAATGGAGATGATTATTTGAACAAAAAAGAGGAATAATATAAAAACAATAATAAGCGTAGTAATAATAATGGGTTGTATATGTGGAAAATAGCAGCGTCCATTGGAAAATAATAACGTAAACGATCGATTTGAATAGACAACGGGTACGAGTACAAGTACGAGGGTAATGATGATTAGAAAGGATATGCAATAATTGCAGTGGTGAGCGAGTAATACACAGTGCATATACCTGGTAAGTAATGGATAAAAAATGAATGGCACTGGAATTAAATCTCAGACTGAGACATTTGAGTAAGGTTCTGATGGAGCTAATAACAAGGCTAAAAATTGAAGAGAATCACGCGAGGAACTGTACAGTACTAGATACTACTCAAGTACTTAGACGGTTAGTAGTGTAAAGCAAATACTGTGTTTATATTTATATTTATCATAATTATATTGAATATTGCAGAGCATAGGTAGCGGAACTGGAGATTTAACCGCGACATCAGATAACTATTTTCTCGTAGTTATTTGAGACACACCCTAAGCTGGACTTAATACTTGAACTGATATATTATGTCTGCACTCTCTAAGCTTCACTCTCTAAGAGTTGCTCTTTATTCTGATCTGTTCGTGTTCTGGCAATGAGAAACTCGAGATGAATTAAATTTATTCTCAGGTCATTAACATGAGCAATAACTTTTTATCGGCCTTTTTTAGTTCCGAGGATTGAGAATTGTTTTGCATTTTCTTAACTGGGTATGATCGACATTTGATTAATTTTTTTAACATTCGAATTTAAAATAATTAAGTAGAAGCGACAATTATTGACGCCATATTTAAGGCTAATATTCATTTAGTTACTATAGATGATAACAGTCGTGTATTTTTTATGCGGACTTTGAAATTGAAAAATTTGATACCGAAAAATATGAAATATTCATAGTAATTAAAGAAGAAATTTATTTTGGGTGTATTTTTAAAAAAAATTGCCGAATTTTTTGTTGGTACAATAATTGGGACATCCTTGACAAGAATTGGGACATGTATTTAAAATTTTTTTTTTTTCAGAAAAATTAATATCAAAAAATTTGAAATATTCAGTAATTAAAGAAGATATTTATTTTGGGTGTATTTATATAAGAAATTGCCGAATTTTTTGTTGGTACAATAATTGGAACATGTATTTAAAAATTTATTTTTTTTTTAGAAAAATTAATATCAAAAAATTTGAAATATTCAGTAATTAAATAAGATATTTATTTTGGGTGTATTTTTAAAAGAAATTGCCGAATTTTTTGTTGGTACAATAATTGGGACATCCTTGACAGAAATTGGGACATGTATTTAAAAATTTATTTTTTTTTTTCAAAAAAATTACTTCAATTAAGAATTTTATAAATTATAATCATAATATTATCTTAGCTATTTAATGGTACAGTGAGTAAAGAAAATTTATTCTTCTTTTGAACAGTGCACTTGAAAGAACATAAGAATAAAAACTACATGAATCGAGAAAAAAATTAAATTTTTTTCGAGAATTTGCCGAATTTTTTGTTGGTACAATAATTGGGACATCCTTGACAAGAATTGGGACATGTATTTAAAAATACTTTTTTTTCAAAAAAATGTGCAGGCCTACAACCAGTTATTTTCTTAAATATTGTCACAATTATTGCTCAAACAAATTCAAACTTTCAGTTTTTATTTTCAATTAACAAATTTATTTTTGAAATATTTATGAATAATATTTCTGATAAACAATAAATGAATATTTATTAAATACTCTTAGGTTTATTATACAGGTGTCAAAAATTGACAATACTAGGTCACTAATTGTATCAGTTGATTATTGTCTGTCAGTAAAATATGCTCCCGTTTTTTATCAAAGAAATAAATTATTAAATTTTCCAAGTTATTATCAAAAAGTGAATTTTCTAGTGAAGAAACTCATACAATATTGAAAAAAAATTTCAATAAAAATATATATAAATACAAACTTTAAATAAAAATCACTCACCGGTTCAGTGCGTCCATCACCATCTTTACCCAGCGACTGTCCTTCAGACCATCCCATTTTCGACAGCAATTTGAACCCTTTATTGTCTTTAGCAATAGACCTGAAAAATATAAATAAATAAAAATTAAAATATTATCCATCTATTAATCCTCCAAAAAAAAAAAAAAAAAAAAAAAAAAAAAAAAAAAAAAAACTTACGTGTCCACAGAACTCTGCTGAGTCTTAGCATACTGATTAGAAGATCCAACTTTTTCCCTGCGCGCTTGAGCTCTGTCCTGGTACCCTCTAGCAACCTGGCTCGCTTTGTCAGTATTGTCCTTATCAACTCCAAACTTATTCTTCAGCCGCTTCAACTCAGACTTGTGGGAATGGACCTTCCGTGAATTTCCCGACTCGTCAACCGGCTGCTGAATCAACCCCGGTTCACAGTGCCCGCAAGTTTCATGGCCATTATGAACATGACAGAGTAGCTTGGTGCTGGCGACCTGGACGATTGATCCATGAGCTATCTCCACTGGCTCTGACTCCTGCTTCGCGACTGATACGCGCTTTCCGTTCACATATGTACCGTTCCGGGAGCCCAGGTCTATTAATTCATACTGATTTTTGGATGCGTCGTACTGGAATCTTGCGTGGTGCTGAAAATAAATTTATTTTTATCTTGAAAAAAATAAATAAAACTAGCAACCTTGCAGTCACTATGTGACTGCGGTGACTTGTGAATTATAAATAAATAAAATTTTGCTTTATTAAATAAGTACTTTTGTTAAATTGTACTGTATGTGCTTTAATATTGACGTTTTTTAAGATATAAGCTCATCCTGATGTTACACTCATTAAGAGCTTTCATTTGAATACCCACATGCATTTTTGATATATTTGTTATGTATACATATATATAACATATAAATATATGAAAAATTGATGTGGGTACTCAAATGAAAGGTCTCGATGAGTGTAACATCGAAATGAGCTTATATCTTTAAAAATGTCAATTTTCATTAGATATAGTCATTTCTTACATTAAATAATTACTTTTGTTAAATTACACTGTACTTTCTTAAATATTGACATTTTTAAAGATATAAGCTCATCCCGATGTTAGTGTCATCAAGAGTTTTAATTTGAGTACCCACATGCATTTTTGATATATTTGTCATATATACATTTACATATATATAATATATATAAATATATGAAAAAATTGATGTGGGTACTCAAATGAAAGGTCTCGATGAGTGTAACATCGGGATGAGCTTATATCTTCAAAAATGTCAATATTTCACAAGATACAACGTAGTTTCTTAATTATGTATCTAGAGAGAGTATTTTCAATGCAGCTTAAATACTTATCATAATAAATTGACTATCGGTGAAAATGATATGAAACCTTGATTTTTCTTATTCTCTTAATAATATAGATAATAATGAACTGATCATCAACACTTACTTTGCTGATGTTAATGTCTGGAATCAGTACTGAGTGGTCAGCTCCCTCGCGACCTAGTGAACCTCCAGTGAAGGTGATGATGAATAATGAACCTAACTTGACTTGCTGAAGATTTGTTTCCTTGACGATTATCCGCATGCATGGTGGGTAATTTTTTGCAACATCTAAAAAAAAATTGTTTTACATTTTTATTCATAAAAATTTTTAAATTTTATAATTCTAGTTAAATATTTAAGATACAAAAAAATTCATAAACATTTTTTGTAGAAAATCGAATTTAGTGATTAATGCACTAACTAAAAAATTATCGAATCAAAAATTTTAGCCAATTTATTTATAAAAATCTAAAATCTTCATCATAATTATTAACTTTTTATTAAAAAAAAAAAAATTTTTTTTTTAATTCTAACTCTTTAAATTAAATAAATAAAAAATACTTGCCATCATTGTCAGTAGATTCAGAAGAAGATTCCGTAGAAGAACTGGTCTCACTAGCCGAACACTCGCCTTCTTCGACAACTTCATCCATCGGCGTATCTCTAGACTTTTTAGCGACATCCTAAAAGATACGAAAAATATATTCATACCGTGAATTCAAAAAGTTTAGGTATTTTTTTTAAATAATTAGCCCTTTTAAACTTTGTAATTGAGCTTTGATTGTCTCAAACACCTGCAACAAAGGAAGCAACAAAAAATTTCGTTAAAAAATTTATCTGTAAAATTTAAACCAAGTTTTTATTTACTTACCTTGTGTTTCTTATTTTTTTTCCGCTTCTCCTTTTTCTTCGTATCTGGAACTTCTGCCGTCGATAACTGGCTGTGATACTTGTAAGATTTTGTTTCATTGTCATAGTAGTAATAAATTCCTGAATTTCCGTCGTAGTAAAGTCCTTTTGCCTGAAAAAATATTTTTTTTTCATTAAAATTATTGATAATTAATCAAATTTCAATATTAATTTAATTCAAATTAGCTCAATAAAGTGATAAATTAATAAAAAATTGATTGTTGAGCAATTGTTAACAAGATGGCGGATAAAATCAAAATGGCCGCTTTGACGGTAAATTTTTAAATCTATCTAAATACTAAAAAAAAAAGTCGTAATTTAAATGAACCGAAATGAATTAATAAAAAATTAATTGTTAACAAGATGGCGGATAAAATCAAAATGGCCGCTTTGGCGGTAAATTTTTAAATCTATCTAACTACTAAAAAAAAAATTGTCAATTAAATTAACTGAAATCTGCAAATTTTTAGAATTTTTTTTGTTAAAAAAATTTATAAAAAAAAAAATAAATTGAAAAAAAAATTTGATACGTAGAAAATTTGAAAAATTATAAGTGGAATTTTTAAAAAATATTTTCTTACTTATAATTTTCATTAATTCAAAAAAATCAAAAATTGTCAAATGTCTGCTAATTTATGACAGTAAAGATAGCAGTTTAACAATTTTTTAATTTTATTTAACAAACAAATTTGTTCCAAAAAATTATTTAAAAAAAAAATAGAATTTTTATTTTTTTTTTACGTCAATTTTTTTTTCTAAATTTTTTTGCAGTAATTTATTTCTTTAAAAAAGTTTTAAAATATCTGCTACTTTAATTTTCATTCTAATTTAGTAAAAAAAAAATTATAATTACAGCATCATAATAATATCCAGTATTATAATCATAATAAAGTCCAGAAGTTTCTTCATAAACAAATCCACTTTGTTGCAATGTAGATTCTGCTACTTGTTTAACTTGTTCACTAATATTAGATTCACTCCACTCAGCAACACCTTCTCCAGATAATTTATCCCCAAAATCCGTCTGTACTTCTTTGTCTAAAAATTCTTTACCGAATTTTCGTCCTTTTTTCTAAAAAAAAAAAAAGAAAAAAATGGTTGACATAAAAAATTAATTAATAAAAAATTAAAATAAAATACTGACCTGATTCATTAATTTATTGTGCAATTTAGTTATTTTTTTATCCTGATACTTGATGTATTTTTTTAACTTGGTTATAAATTCCAAAACCTCCGGAAAGTCTTTCAGTAACTCATCAAAATCTTCGGATATATTTATTTTAATATTAAACTTATTATCATCTTCATTTTCTGAATATTCTTCACACTCATTTGAATTCATTTTTAAAATTATGGAAAATGCTTTATATTTATTTAATAAAATTTGCTCCGAAGCTCGTAAATAATAAGCGCAGTTATTGTAAACAGCTGAGTCGGAAATAACAAAAGTGGGGATGTGACAATCAAAATATAGTTCTTTACAATACCGTCGGTGGCGCTGAAGTGCGCGAAATTTAAAATTTTAAATAAAAGTAAATTTTTTCACTGAAATTAATTAATCTCAAAAATAACCTAACTTAAAATTTTATGACTGTGAATTAAGCAAACATTATTAAATTATTACAATTAATAAAATATGAGTAAGTTAAAAATAAAAAAATTAATTAATTTATAAAATTAAATAATCTGAAAGTGAATTTTTTCAAATTTTAATTTGTTTAATTATCAATTTATTTGTTTTCAATTTAAAAAATATTTGATGTCTTCTAAATGTGAAAATTAATTTGGCAGATGTTTAATAATTATAAAAAATTTTTTTAACAAGTAAATTATAATAAAAACATTAACATATAGAAGTATGAAAAAATAAAAAATGCAATTTTTTAAATGATATTAAAGTTAGCTATCACTTGACTATTTTTTAATTTTCTTTAACAAAAAAATTTGTGATAAAAAATTATTTAAAAAAAATTGCATTTTTAATTTATTAAAATTTCTTCAAGCCCATTTTTTTAATAATTTTTTTTTTGTCATAATTTATTTATTAAAAATAATTGTCAAGCGACTGCTAACTTTCTTGTCATATTCTAAATTAATAATTAAATTTTAGGCGCGCAGTAGCCTATCGGATCCGGCCCTTGCTACCAAAGCATTAGACCGGGTTCGAGTCCGGCGTACACCAATGAATATTTTCAATATTTAAGTGTATTATTCTGCTCAGCCCAAAGAAATACAAACGAGTTCCAATCTCAAAAGTTTACCCCCTACCGTAGTCGCTCATGACCTTAGTAGTTTATGCGACTTTAAACAAATTAAGAAAAAAAAAAAA